ACAGCTTTAAATTTAGTTTTTTCCCCATATATTAGAATGTGTCCTGTTTAACTTTATATTTTTCTGAACAAAACATAACAACTATCATGCATTTTTTACCATGATTTACACAAGACACCCACTGAAATGTCATTCAGTGTAACAATATTTATATACCAAAAAATCTTGTTAGGCATATTTTAAACATGGATCATTTGATGACATATTAAAAGACTATATTTAAGCATCACAGTGCAGCCCTCAAATACAAATTAACTTTAAATTTTAAATCTTTATAGTTTGCTAATGTCCTTCAAACCACTAGGTTTTACCTATTTGTCAGCAAGAAGTTTTTGTAGGGAAGTGAAAGTCATTTAAAATATAATAAAATTTAGTATGATCACATATTCTTTTTTGTATTTTAATAAGTACAAGTCACAATAAGTATATTGTTTCATTTTTACATAAATATATCTGTTACGCTGAATGACCTGAATGATGGTCTGAATGACGATTTGCCAAAAAGAGAGATAATATTGCCATTGTTCCCATAACTGAAATGTTTTCAGTATTAGTCTGTGTCATTAAATGAGTTTTAATAATATTACTGAGTGAATGACTGCAGAAGCAAATTTTAAAATATAATAAGCATTTTACTGATAATCCCCTGCCATGCTTTCTTAGCTTGTCACTTTGTTTCTGACTTGCTCTGACCCAAAAATTGCTGCTTGCAGCTATATTTATTAACACTTTCTGTTTGCCAACATAAATGACATTATCAGGATGAGTATTTAAATCTCAAATGATCTCTATTGAACTTGTGACATACTGTAGTGAGAGGGGACTCTCTGCCCAGAAATATTGGCAAGCTATTATTCTGACAACTGCAATCCTCAATACCTTTCTCTTTTCCTTGCTAAAGGCACGTTCACACCAAGTTCGATAACTAGAATGATAAAGATAAAGATATTGTAAAAAAAAAAAATCATTCTACAACAGCAGATTCCACAGCACAAATAATGATAACTGCACAGAGAAATGATAATGATAGAATCTCTTTTATATTGTTGGATTTATTTTTTTGGCTTATTACAGTGCCTATACTTCCTCTGTTCATAGACGTTTAAAATGAATCAATAACACAAATGAATCAATTAAAAAAAGCATTCAAATATTAATATGTATTATGTTTAACACTTATTTGTCAATGTTAAACATTCCTCATTTATCTTTAATATAAATACGATGCTAAAATGGTTATTTATACAGTGATACTGTCATTCAGTGAAATGGATGACACTAGACTGTGGTGTCTGATTTTTATGGAGCAGTTACATCAGTGTGCGGACAATACGATTGTATTTTTGCTATACTAGACTGTGGTGTAACAGAATTTGCATTACACTGAATGACAAACCCATTACCCTGAATGACGAAACTTCTACTTCAGCTTTTATTGCAGGCTTTCAACTGGCCATCCATTTCAAACACTGAGCTTGACCAGTAAAGTTAATCACAATTATTCACAAAATCTATTTATTTTTTAAAAAAATCTCACATTTCACTGAATGACATGTGTTTTGTAACCTATGTTACCACACCATGAAAAGGTGGAATTATCAAGTATTTAAGAGCAATAATCTCACTTTTCTTGCAGCACCACACGGTCTTTAGGGTGCCATCTGATGGTGTCACACACTGTTGAATGACTATCAGTTTTTATATGATTTCAGAATGGCTTTTTGTTCCTGTTAAACTGAATGACCTCTGATAAACTGCATTTTCTGGACAAAAGTCCCCTGGTTATTTAAATACTTAAAAAAAAACAATAAGACATAGGCCTAGTCCTTTTAATATAATACAGCCAACACTTACTTGAAAATGCCAAGACAACAAATAATTTTTTTAACTTGGTATTTTATATGTTTATTTAAAGATGTAATGGTAAAATCAAAGTCCAAACCATTACGCTGAATGACAATTTTACACTTTGGATTGCACATTTTATTTTTGAGTTATTTGAAATATGAAAGCAGACTCTTTACTTGCATTTAACATGTCTTTTTATGTATATAAAATTACTTTTGTAAACTTAATTTGATGCGGACACCAAAATGGTAACGTCTCATCTTTGACCCATCTACTAATTGTTTCTATTTGCTTATTGCTTGCCAGAAACCAACAGTTACCATCACTTGCCTTCCATGAGAAATGTCTACTCCTGCATGTTGAAATAAACTGGAAAATGGAGTTTGATGACTGAATGAGTTTTAATGGACTCGCCGTTCTGGTTGCAATAACCAAATCAGCCTAAGATTTTCTACACATAGCCTATTTAAAATTAATAAATCATTATAATGTAGCCAAAGGTAAGTTATGAGAAACATAATCAATTAGTTCACCTCCAGAGACCCAAGTCTTTCATTCATTTGTCATTTAATAAACACACAATAAACTAATAGTTCATGAATGACCATCCAATCACAAGAACAAACTGTTTTAAAAGCAACACAGCGATACACTCTACTGGAAGTTCTATTCCGAGAGCACTTAAATTTATAACCATAAAAAAAAATTCTGACTTTCTCAAATTTTCTGCAGTTACACTTCTGCTCTGCTTTACTCTTCTGATTTACTATCGAAACTCAGTATTGAAGTACTGCTAATTTTATCATCCTGTATGTTTCCTCATTTGAAACCTGCCTTGCATAATGTGATTATTTCCTAAAAATTGCTTAAATTACAGTCAGCTCATATGGCTTTAGAAGACTAATATAGCGCACAAGTCGTATGACTACTTTTTGGAGTCCCTGGACATCGTATGCTTTAATTGTATATGAGCAGCAGGAAC